AATCTTAATCACCTCCTTTTTCTTTATTGAGGTTTTAACCATTCCACGCGCTGAAACCTTCAATTGTCTGCATCCGCACGGGTTGATTTGTCTGGGCTTTTTCTGATCAGGGAATTGTTCAAAGTTAACATATTTTATGAATGCAATCATACACGTCACGGCTTTGTGACCAAAAGATTGCAAGATTAAACCTTTTGCATAAGGTACTTCTTTTTCCTAAATATAAGATTTATTTTATAATATAAATTATGTTATAAAATAAGTTTTGTATTTAGAATAAAAAAATATAATGTTATTAAAAAATAATGCTTAATATTAGAGGTAGGGAATAGGATCCGGCCTACAAGCCAAAATTAGAAAGTCTAAAGTTACTTCAGGAATTTTGAAGCCCGGTCCAGAGTCAAGACCCTCGAGCCATAGGGCTAGCCCTACACACGCGCGCGAACGCACACAAAGAGTATATTTATTATATAAAAATAGGTTAATATGATATTTGGTTCCTTAAATTTTAAATTATAAATTTTGGTCTTTCAAATAGCAAAATAATCTAATTTTTTTATTGAATTATAGGGACTCATATTTTAAATAAAAAGAAATTTGATGAACTAAAACTTATGATTTGAAATTTGATAGACAAAAAATTATATTAACCTATAAAAATTTTATGATTCAGATCATAAAGTCATAAGTTTTTGGGTTAATACAATTTTTAATCTATGAAATTTAGGTCTATTTTTATTTTGGTTTTTGAGATTTTAAAGTTGTAGTTTTAGTCCCAAAATTTAATCCATCCTAAAATATTAGTACCTAAAAGTGTAATGGTCTTAAAATTTATTAAAGTATCATAAACGGTGTTAAAGTAGTGACGTGGATTATTAGATTCACATCTCGTTAGATCTTATATGGATATACTCTTCCGGTCCTTAATATAAGACCCATTTAATTAATTTGATTAGATTAAAGAAGTTAGGTAAGTTAGTTAATTATAAGAAAATTGACACATTTTTCCTAAAACACCATAATCATCTTTCTTAATATCCCCTCTCTCTTTTACTTAATTGTGGTTGAGGGAGTATCTATAGGGGTAATTTAGAGAAAATTGATAAATATGAGAAATAGGTCTTATATTTAGGACCAAAACCAATTTAAGAATTGGGTCCTATATTAAGGACCGGAGGAGTATAATAGAACAAAAGAACCGGTTCTCCAAATACAATGTAGAGAAGGATTACACAGAGGGGATAGATGCATCAATTTAGAAGTTGTCCATTGCATTGCATTTTGAGAACTCATTTTCTTTGTATAATTGTTTTCTGTATTACATTTTGAGGACCTTTCTTTTTAATGCATACAAGATCTAATTATGTGCCATCAAGTAAGTTCATATCACTATTTTAATGCTGTTTACAACACTTCAGCACATTTTTAACACCGTTACACATTCAGTAACTAACATTTTAAGATGGATCAAATTTCATTAAAAAAAATTATGAGTTTAAAATTTGAAAAACCAAAATCAAAATATTCTCAAATTCCACTGGCCAAATTTTTTATCAACCCTAAACTCAATGATCTAAGAATATTAATATACACAAAAAGTCTAGAAAAGCAAACAATTTAAATTTAAACAATGAATGGGATTGGGCTGGCAAAAAAAAAAAATCATCCCTCATAACGTAACTTACCTATATGTAGCCAAAAAAAAAAAATTTAAACAACGTAATTACTTTCATATTTAAGTTTCAACTTTAAAGTTTTATAATAATCCAATTCACCCTCTTCTTAAATAAGTTCTGTACTAATAATACTCATTTTCACATCCACATTCATTTCATTTCCATATAATCACCGAGTCTGCCGCTCAATTTCTCGAATTAAAAAGAATATTTTTAGAGCTAATTAAGAGGTAGTTGGAAGAACCTCCACATCTTTTGTATTTGTTTTTTTTTTGTTTATTTATTTACCAGGAGACACTCTCTATTACGTTTGGATGAAATCATTTTGACCCAACTATTAAATTTAGATTTTTTTTTTGCATCGCCAAAATTTCCCATCTTTCGTACCTAACTAATAATCAATATTGATAATAAATAATAATTCTGATAGTTGCGTTGGTTGATAATCCACACCATTACCAATATGCTCCTTCATCTTCCAGATTTGACCTAAATTCCAGCCCGAAGTTTTCAAAATAGGTTTTGTGGATTCTAGTCTAATAGGCGGAAAAATCTTTTGGATGGAGAGTGATAGCATATCAATTGCAATAACACTTCCAATTTCAATTATTTTTTTATTTCATTTTATTTAAAGGATTTTAGTTCCAAAAAAGTGATTTCATCTTAAATTATGTTTATCTTAAAATGACAATATCACAATTATTAAAAATGAATATGACTAGTAATTTGTTGCTTATCATTGGGTTCCTTTAAATTAATACAAGATATAAAATGAGATAGAGTATTTAAATACCTTGAAAGTATCTACAAAAGAACACCCAACACTTGAAAGGTTTTTTTTTAGCTCTTATATATCCTAGAAGTTTATTTTTGTAACAAAAATACCTGGCAGTTATCTGCTATTAAGTTTGATTGTTGAATTATGCAGTTTGACCGGTGTTTTTAACAATCAAACTTAACGACAGATAACAGTTCATGGTAGAAATACTACAAAAAAAACTTTTAGAATATATAAAAGCAAAAAAAAAAACTTTCAAGCACTGGGTTTTTGTGCGCGGATATTTTCATAGTATTTAAACACATTATTCCATATAAAATTTATAACAAACTCCACTATAGGTCTATAGCCAACTTATGTTACAATCCACACAAATATGAGACTCACATTTATTTATTTATTTATTTTTCTAAGCAAAAGTATTTGAGACCTATTTAAGGAATTATTGGATACTAAATTTGAGTACCTCTTACATTGTGAAGAACTAATACTTTTGGCTAAACCGAACCTATTACTAAGAAACTCACATTTTAGCGGCGTTTGAATAGTTTTTTTTTAAATACAAAAATACATAAGAATAATTAACTCAATTTTCTCTTCCACTTAGAACCAATTGGAGCATTAAACAAAAGAGATTTGACCAAAAATGAAAAATTTAAAAACATTTGACCAAAAGTCATTCAACCATGCCATAATGGATGGGCTGGGGATAAATGGGTGAAATCAATAAGTACCAAGGAATACTTTTTCTTTTCTTGAAAAACAAAAATTTACAGCACAAAATGAAAATATTGCATTCACATGGAAACAAACTATTTAATTATTTCTTACCTTTCGAATCACAATGAATATTAAATCACGAGATTTGACCAAAATAAATTTTTTTAAATATTTGACCAAATCCAGCTCGCCATAAAAGCCAAATTCAACCATAACACCCTCTTTGACATCTAATTTTATATGAATTTGGTGAATAGGCCAAAACGGAAGGGATAAATGGGGGGAAAAGGGCCAATTTGGTGAGCCACTCTTGGCATTTTCTCATGTTACCTAATCATTGGAGGTTGGGGGTGGGGCCCACCACTAAAATCCCAAGTCAAAAGCAGTCACCTTCTATTTCAAGTTCTAGATTCATAATACTAATATCTATTGCATATAATCTCAAATAAGAGGGTTTGGTACATTTTCATATTCGGACGCCATAACGCTAAGTCAGAAAAAGACCGTACCCACAATTATTATTATTATTATTATTATTATTATTATTATTATTATTATTATTATATGGCATATTTAAAAAATAATTAATTTCATGCTCCCAAGTCCTAATCCCTTCCCTACCTCTTCAAGCTTTTTCCTTTTCATTCTCTTTATTTGAAACAGTATAAGGAAGGCACCCCACCACCCAACCCCTTGTACTATTTCAAACACAGGACCAAATCTCTTGTGAAACTACTGAATTACCCTTCAAATATTAGGGTTATTTTTCTTTTGAAAAAATTAGTAAAAAGGACTTGAATTTAAGTATTTATACTTTTTGTGTGCAAAATCTTCTAATATACTTGTACTTTTTATGTATAGAAATATATCAAATCTTTTTAGTTAATAAAATTTCTATACAAGGCGTTTCGATCGGTTTTTTCTTTTCCCTTTTGCATTAATAAAAGTAAAAAATTTATATTTACAGATCATCATCTCCATTGAGGGATTGTCTCTATATTTTTTTCTTTCTCATGATGAAAAAAATAAGCTAAATTATTATGTTCATTAATATCAAGTGGAGATGGCTGATTTTTCTTATAAATAAAAATGAGTTATACCTGATTAAAGCGAACAATACTTGCATCTTATGGTATTATTGGATATAAAATAATTATAGAAAAAATTTAAAATATTTATAAATTAGTCATGAAGGAGGCATCAAGATGATAATCTAAGCTCAAAATTCATATGGGCATCTTTATCATAGAACTGACCTTTGGTGCGAATGCATTTAACTATATGGCATGTTTAGAGGATGTTTAATTAATTTAATTCCATGTTCCAAAATCTTACCTCTTCAAACTTTTTTCTTTTATATTTAAAAAAAAAAGTTTGAAACAGTGAATGAAGTAACCACCAAATCCCTCTCGGGACCGTTGTACTGTTTCAAACAAAGACCAAATCATCTGTGAAAGTACTAAATTACCCCTGTAGCCATTAAGGTTTTACCCAGGGGAAACAAAGAAATGTGTGAGTTGGACTGGGTTCATGATAAATCTCAAACTTCATGAGTATTTAATTTTTTTAAATAAATTCCTTATGAATGGGACATCCACCTATCAATTTAAACTCAGATTCGATGGATGACAACTTGCTTGTAAAATTGACCTTTGGTGAGAATGTTGGGATTCATTCCTAAGGTCAGGGTTTTTCGGTAATTGCATATTGGAGGAGCAGTGAGAAGTGAAGGCAAGAAAACAATAATAAACTGATTCGCTTTTGAAACTGTCAGAAAATATAGGCAACGCGCCCAAATCTCCATTAGCACAAAGGAAAAATCCAAAAAATCGAAACTCGGGAACGATCCATGATCAGAAAAGGGACAATCTTTACAGATTCGGTTCAAAAAAACAAAAAATTCGATCGTTTTGTTTGTGATCTTCTTCTTCTTCGCTCCTCAGCTTTCATGGCTTCTTCTAATGTGAAGCCATGGCTTTGTTTGAGCTTTCTCTTCGTTCTTCACACTTCTCTGCTCGCACCAATCTGTAATTGTCAGCCTCAGAACATCGAAACCTTCTTTCCACCTGAAACTTCACCTCCAGCTCCTCCACCGAGCATTTCTCCACCGCCGTCACCTGCAGTTCAGCCGATACCGACGCCGGTGCCGGCGGAAACAACTAGAAGTTCTTCATCATCGAATAGTAAGGTAGGGAGGGCTGTGGCTATTACTGCAGCAAGCACAGTGGTTGTTTCTGCGTTAGTCTTCTTCTTTATCCGATGGTGTTTAAAGAAAAGACGAAGAGATGAGAGACGTGTCACCTCTGCTTCGGAACCTGCTGATGGAAATGGAAGAACTGTTGTTCCTCAGACGAACGCGTTTGAACGAATTGAAGGTAATGTGAAGGGATTGATTGTTGATGAGAATGGTTTGGATGTGATTTATTGGAGGAAGCTTGAAGAGAAGAATAGGTCCAAGAAGGGATTACAGAGGGAGGTTCGAACTATCGCTAAAGAACAAGATCAAGAACAAGAAGTAGAGGTTGTAACAGAAGATGATGATTATGATGGGTATGGAAGAAAGCATCGCCGGAAAAAATCTGGGCCTGTTCAAGAAATTCCTCTGCTTCGTGGGAAATCTTCGGCTTCCGAGAAGAATTTAATATCAGAAGATGAACATGGGTCGAATCGGAGTTGGAGGAGAACGTTTTCTCGAAAAACAGCAGCCACTCCCCCTCCTCCTCCGGTGACGACGACGGCGACTGTTTCACCGCCATTACCACCACCGCCCGCCGCTTATTTTTCTGCTGTTTCAAAAGCGAAAAACAGTGAACCGCCACCGCCACCACATCATGTTACTGCTTCTTCTTCTTCTTCTTCTGTTTCACCACCATTACCACCACCGCCCTCTGCTTACTTTTCTGCTGCTAACAAAACGAAAACCACTGAACCACCGCCTCCACCTCCTCCTCCGTCAATTCCAGATAAAAAAGGTCCGGCGCCGCCTCCCCCACCTCCACCTGCGCCGGCTAAAAAGAGTCCAGCACCACCACCAGCTCCGCCCATGGCCGGAAGCTCAAGGTCATCTTCAAAACCACCACCTACCCCAGTTGAAATGTCAGGGGAAGACAATGATAAGGTGAAACTAAAACCTTTACATTGGGATAAAGTCACCACCAACGTTGATCATTCCATGGTTTGGGACAAGTTGAATCGTGGCTCCTTCAGGTAATAATCCTAATTTAATAGATTTTGTGAATTCTGATATATTATTTGTCCATTATAGTTTAGTTCCTGATATGCCTATGTTATATACTTCAGGGTGGATCAAGATCTTATGGAAGCTCTTTTTGGATATGTGGCTACAAGCAAAAGAACCAAGAACAATTCAACTAGTCCAACCAAGGAGGTTTCTGCACAATCAAGCACAACTTTCATTCTTGATTCCAGGAAATCACAGAATATTGCTATTGTCTTGAGATCTTTAGCTGTGTCGCGACGAGAAATCCTTGATGCCCTTGATGAGGGTCAAGGCCTTAATTCAGATATAATTGAGAAGCTTGTTAGAGTTGCTCCAACACAAGAAGAACAATCTGAAATACTTGATTATAATGGAGACCCTGCAAGACTTGCAGTTGCAGAATCCTTCCTCTATGATATTCTCAAAGCTGTTCCTTCAGCTTTCAAGCGTTTGAATGCTATGCTTTTCAGGTTCAATTATGATTCAGAGGTATTAGAGATCAAGGAATCTTTGAACACACTTGAATTGGCCTGCAAGGAGCTTAGAACTAGAGGGCTTTTTGTGAAACTTCTTGAAGCAGTCCTTAAGGCTGGGAACCGTATGAATGCTGGTACTTCAAGAGGCAATGCTCAAGCTTTTAACTTGACTTCTTTGAGGAAACTCTCTGATGTCAAAAGCACAGATGGGAAAACCACATTGCTTCACTTTGTGGTTGAAGAAGTAGTCCGGTCTGAGGGAAAACGGTGCGTTCTTAACCGCGATTGGAGCCTGAATCGGAGTGGAAGTAGGAAAGTGAACAACAAAGGTGAGTCTGAGAACTCTGCTTCAGATGAACAGAGAGAAATGGAATACCTAAAGTTAGGATTACCATTTGTTGGAGGAATTAGTACTGAGTTCTCCAATGTGAAGAAAGCAGCCATTATTGATTATAATAGTTTAGTTGCTTCAATATCATCCCTCTCCACTCGGATAGCAGAAATCAAACAACTAGTTTCACAGTGTGGGAATGGTAAAGGAGGGAACTTTGTGAGAGAAATGGACCATTTTCTGAGAAGTGCTGAGGAAGAATTGAGATCAGTGAAAGATGAGCAAACAAGGGTAATGCAGATTGTGAAGAAAACAACGGAGTATTATCAAGGAGGAGCTTCAAAAGAGAAAGCAGAGAATCTTCTGGAAATTTTTGTCATCATTAAGGATTTTCTGGGAATGGTTGATCAGGCCTGTATTGACATTGCTCGTAATATGCAGAAGAGGAAGAAAACAAAATCAAATTCTGGGTAAGTTCTGGGAACAGGGACAGAATCCTTGTACAGTAGAATGATCAGTTTTGCCGAATGGAATTTATATTATTCCGTTCAAAGTCATAGGATGGTCCATGTTCTGATCATGAGACAGCTGTAAATAATCTCGTACTCGAGAGACAATTGGATTGGTCCCAAACTATGTGGACCTGACAACTATTGGGACAGCCTGTGTCTGGCAAATTCAGGAACTAGAGCCATCCTTTTTTATGTTACCCAGATCACTCATTCTTTAGTTTACTTCTCTGTTAATGTTGGATTCTTCTGGCATTAACGAGGATTTGCACAGCTTCTTGGGATTTTCTGTTACTATATCATAATTCTTTTGATATGTAATTTTAGATGAATGAGAATTTGTATTTATTCACCAAAGAAAACACATCAGAGTTGCTTCCCATATTGCAACGTAATAGAGAATTTACTTTGTATTAATCTTTTTTTTTTTTTTTGAGCTGAACTTCGTATTAATCTTAACTTCCAATTTTCTGAAAAATTTCCAGTTATGGTTAGTAGCACCTCAGAAACCATACTATTCAATCATAGAAAATATCAGGAAGAAGGAAAAAGTTGCAATTCAATACAAGAAATACGTGCATCTTACGTTACGGGCTTTATATTGCTCAAGAGGAGAAGAAATTCATTATAATGCATGAATCCTACTCCTCACACTGTCCATAATCTCCACAATATACATTTCTGATTATTTTACATATTCAAATACAAAGTCTAAACGATTGTTTCATTCTCAATCGAGGAGTGAGTCGTTGCCGCAAACATTTCCTCTGAAAATGCATATCTACCTGTCCACTGATGTACTTTGTCTTATTTTTCGTTTCTCTATATCTTTACCCTTTAAAAGGGCTACTGAGGAGTCTCAGAATTAATATCCCCCTGCATAAGAACACGACAGAGTTAAGAAGAAATATTTTGGGAATGATTATAGTGACTTGGCATGATCAGTCACAATTTAAAATACTGAAAGAATAAGCCTACGTCAATGCATTCCTGCCTTTCTCTCACCTTGCTTCCTTCATTTTGCTCACAAATAATCAGGTATAAAACAATTATTAATAAAGTTGTTTAATGCTACTGCTTGTCTCTTGGCAATTTTACATCTACTGGGCTCTAATATTCGTTAGTAGCATTAATACAAGGTTTCAGACTTGTGCCTTTTAATGGAAAATATGATCTACCGTGTCAATGCTAATCACAAAGATCAAATTACTAGCAGCCAAATTGAACGCCTTAAAGGTTTTGCAATGTTACTTGATTTACAAAGAGGCCATTATTTGGATGACTTAAACAATAGTAAGAAGCTGCAATTCTAGAAACGACTTACAATGAAGTCAAAGTAAACATTTAGCATGAGTGTGGCCCACTAATCACTATCATCTATGCTTATCTGCCAGAATACCTCTTACAGCAATGTTCCTAGAACGATTTTAAAGATGAGTCCAAATCATTATAATCAATGGGAAAAAAAGGAAGATAACGTTCCAGCTACGCTCTTTCTTTCCTTTTTTTTTTTAAAACACCCCCAAGCTACGCTTCGTTATGGAGGAAGATCTGCTATATTTAATCCTTCAACCTACTCGTTAACACGGTAGAGAGATCAAATATTTAGATGTATGATACTTGCCTTCTCTGCGCGGGTTTTTGATACTTTTTGAGCCCGGTAAAAAGCTGGCAAAGGCGTTGCCTTGAAATTGTGATTTGCTTTCTTGTTCTCGATCTCCCTTTGCCCCTGTTTTCAGAAATGATGGTCAGGCACCCACTTTCTGCATACGATATGGATAATAATAGCAGTAGCCAGCTGGCTAAATCTAAGACGAACTATGAATACATGCACCCACGCCTAAGTTAGAAAAAATTATTATACAGAACAGTGTACCTTCAATTTTGATTGAAGCCGTACTCTTTCTGCCGCTTTTGCATTAGATTTTTCCTCTATTTTCTTAGGAAACTGATTTGAAAAGTGAAGAGATGGGTTAGAAGAAATAAACAAGACTTCCAAAATGAAAATAGAAGCATTTTTGGAGTTAATGAAAATAGAAGCATTAATATCATCGCATGCACTGAATTGCATACACAAACAGGACTTGTGTATACCTCTTTTCCTTTCTCTGCTCTCACGTCACTTTTTAAGCCTCCAGAAACTCGGACAGCATTTCCACTTATTTTATTGATACCATCAACCTTAGTTGGCCTATTTGTAAACAATTTCACCAGATCAGCAAACACATATTTACAGTGATCACTGTGTGCTAGCATCAAAAAAGAACTTAAGGAATGGTTAAACTCTTTTTTTCTTTTCAAGGAGGAGGAAAGATGGAAGCAATTAACAGTCTTTCTATCATGCACAGGTACCTATCCTCTCCTACAGACAATTAATTTTCCATAATCATTTAATAAATTTTATATTTTATCTAGATAAACATAATTTAAAATTTCAAAGTAACAATATAAGGTTATAGGCCGTTGGAAAAAGTCGGCTCCAAGGAAGAGATCAAGTTGGAAAAGTAGTCTTCTACTGTAGGTGTAAAACAGAAATTCCACATTCAATATAATACAAGTAGTTCAATAAAAGGATAGGCAAAAGTTTATCATTGATATTATTGAACAAATGAACAACTTTCAGGTTGGAAAGCGCTTGGGCACTGTGCAGAAGTAAAGGGGGATTGGGAGTGTTTAGATGGAAACCAAACCATGGTTTAAAAGTGCTTTTACGGTATATGAAGTAAATATGTGAAGGAGTTTGTCTCGTTTTGCAGAAAAGTGCTTTTAAAAAGCACTTCTACACAATCCCAAACAAATTTGACAGAGCAACATGTAGTTTTAACTATAATAGCATGGGGCGTGGCATTACTATAATATGACTCGTAATGCTCTTCCAGCCACCATTCCCCAAGTAAAGAAAAATCATCAATCAAGGTCACAAAAGATAATTGTTGGGAAAATAAGCCTGTAAATAAATTTTATAATGGAGTCCAACATATTTTACAATGATTAATCACATTTATAATAAATAACTGTATTCTTCATTTGTTCAACATTATCCATGCGTGATTGATTAAAATTCTTCCAAACACAACAAACCACAACAAAGAAATGATTGTCAGCACTACGAATTATGTTAAAATGTGTTGATTGTATGTAAGGAACGAAAGATGCAACATAAAATATATCAAGGGAAACTAAACTGATGGAATAAAATAACACATTGATAAGGCAGACTCAAAAGATTACCGTCCATTTTCTATTCGCGAAGGCATAGATTTTTGGACCCTTCGCTCAGTCAACCCAGAAGGAATCTGCCCAAGAATTTTGCGACATTAAAAAAAAAAAACAATAATAAATGAGCATTTCCACTGTTATGGACATAATTTCTCAATATATATAAGAGTACACATAATCTCAATACAATTACCTGCTTTTTCACCAAAGATCTTTCTTCACCAGAAGTTTTTCGCAGGTTGATGCTCTGGAATGTTTTAAATGTTCGTTTAACTATGTCCTTATCCCCTATTTTCTCCATGATGGATGATTTCCTCATTGAGGTAAGAGGGGCTGGATCAGGTTTGCTTGGACCCAAGCTAAGGGACATGTGCAGAGATTTATTAGCAATTCTTTTATTTTCTCCAGTGGATGTTGCTTGCCTCCCGGATAAAGAGGGAGAATTTCCCTTCCTAGTTGAAGAGGCAAATGCTGGTGTCTTGGTCGGAGTTGTTATGGATCTTAAACTTCCAGGTGTGGAAGCCTGAGCTACCTTAGATGAAGGTAGCAGTGGTTTCTTCTTAGCCTTTGCTGTGTTAATTTTCTTATTTCCAGTGGTAACCTGTCCAAAATAAACAGTAAGAAACAAGAAACAGGGTAACCAAATTAGCAAAGTTTATACAGCATGTATAAACTGAGATTTAACGGGTAAAATTTTTCAATAAGTTTCTATGGCATCAAACACACCTTCGAGTCCTTTGACTGTTCCACTTTTACATGTTTTGCTTCAACTTCTGATACCTTTACCATCTCCTTGTCCAATTCGAGAGAACTTTCCTTTAAATCTTCAGCTTCCATGGTAGGCCTTTCTTCTTCTTCAGGTTTCTCTACCTGGGAACTGTTTGATCTGCATTCGTCCAACTGTTTATTCTCTCCGTCAACAGATGAGATTTGATAATCTCCAGAGGCCGAGAAATCCCCCTCAAAGGAATCAACCTGGGTCCTGCTGATCTCACCAGAAGAATGGGTCTCTTGCTTAAACCCTTCAATGGAATTTGGATTGTCGGATGCATCAAATTCTGCATCAGCCCCACAAATGCCACTCTGATCTTCACCATCTTCATCTTCTGATTTCAAAGGATCCTTGTCCGTTTCCTTCTCTTGACTCAGTAATTCAGCTTTTCCGGCGGCAATCTTCTTATAATGAGCTTCGAAGTAAGCTTTCTTCTGGGCTACTGATCCAGGCGTGGCACACTTCTCAACCTCTTCCAGGTACTTATTTGGTGAGAAAGTCGACCATTTCTCCCAGGACAGGGAATCATTCTCAAATCTACCAAATGAAACAGACAATTGCAAACCAGGATTGGAAGCCGCAGTCTCTCCCATCTGCCAGCACGGCAGAGAAAAACAAAAGCCGTAAACATAATTTCACGCAAGAACACAAACGACAACTCACAAGAGCACCAAAAAAACACAGGATTTCAACAATCATGAATAGGGAATCTCTTAAATAGATAGATTTAGAAGAACAATAATTTGAAAAGAAAAAAAAAAAAGGATCTATCAGTGCTCTTAAACAATCTTACCAACAAATGGATTTACCTTATCTTCACATGTTGAAGAATCTACAACGAAATCACACATGGAAGTTCAATTACTGTTCAATTACCACTCAGCTACAACCCTAGGACAGCTAACGCACGGCACGGCCTGTGAACAAGCAATGAGGAAACGAACAATTAATCAATCAATCCTGGGAATCTCACAGAAAGGATACATATAAGAATGCTCACAATGGAGACAAAAAGAAGGCTCTAAAAAATTTACAGCAAATGATGAGTAAAGTGATAGCAGGACATGTGCATGTGCCATGCCAGTGAGCAGTACCGCTCGCTCACTCACTGATCCCTTTAACTTGAAATTCTACACAAACTTTCCACGGTAAAGACATTCTTTGTCTACTAGCGAAGCACTTCTGGAAAAGTCCTGAACCAAATCATCAAGACAAGGAAAATATTCCACAAAAGCGTGAGCAAAGTGCAACCTCACGGGTCACAAACTCGAAACCCACAGATCAACTTGATTATTATTATATTCCCAAAGATGATTAACCTTTTTAATCACATTAAGCATTAGCTTTTTTCAGTGAGGGGCCATCCAGAACCAAAAAGGTTGTATAATTGTGATAGAATAACCTGCACCAGAAAAATCACGCAAAAAAGTTAAATTGAAGAAACAAAAGAAACGATCATCGAGCACAAAATTTTACCAATCTTGAATAATACTATAGATTTGGTAGACGAGAGACTTACTATCTCCCGCGATGGCGATGATTTGATCGATTGATTCGATCCAGATAACTATGAAGTGGAAGGCAAATTGAAGGAAGGCCCACTGAGGAAGATAAAAAGAGGGAGCGTGAAAAGGACGAGTGAGAGACAATTTCCTGAATTTGTCAGATGAGCTTGGACCCATGTGGACCCGATTGAATTAGCTTAACTGAAGCCATATCTGAACAGCATTCTGCCAGAACGGAGATGAACTGGAACATGTAAAACGACGTGGCATCATCCCATGGGAATAAAAACGACGGCGTTTTATGCGCTGTAATCCAAATTGGGCCTGAGCCCAATATACCAATATACCAATATACTACTTTCGATCCTAATTATAAGACTTAGTTGACTAATTTGAAAAGATTACGAGAATAAGTTAAATTAGTTATTTATAATAAATAGATAATTTCTTTCCTAAAACATCATTGCTAATCAACTATATCAGCTAGAACTATGATTATTAGAAGGACAATTTTGAAAAAAAATACATAAATATAATAAACAAAGTAGATTGAGATCTTATATTTAGAATCAAAATAAAAGTTAGACAAGGTCTTATATTAAGAACTGGAGGTAATATTAGTGTATTACATTACAATTAGTTTTGGAGTTGAATTTAATCCTAAATAATTAATTATAAGATTTTAATTAATTTTTATCACATATTTATTATTTTACCAAATTAATTTGCCTAATTGATAAGTTAAGAAAGAATCTAAGCTCATGTAAAGATATTTTACAAAAATCATGTTAATATTTTTTATAATTAACTAATTTATTTAACTTTCCCACCCTTCTCAAATTAATTAAAAAGCTCTTATCTTAATAGAAAAATGAAGTACAAGCCCACACCATAAATCATCCACATACCAATATCACCATCTAATATATATTCTCTAATAGATCCTAAATGTGGGAAATAGTAAGGAAGTTAGGGGGGAAGCTCGTGGAGACTATTTTAATTCCAAATATAAAATATTAATTTATTTTATTTTCTAAATTTATAATTTTGTAAAACTTTTCATATTGATTGCAAATATTAAGAGACTTTTTTTTTATTAACAGAGTAATATTTAATACAAATCATTAAAAAGACAATTTAGAAAACAAGTCACATATATCATAAATAATTAATTTAACGAATTTTTTTAATTTTTGTGAATCAATTAGATAAGAATTAACATCTCAAAGGAAATATTTGTTATGAGACCAACATATAATAAATATTCAAACGTGTATAATAATATCCATAGCAAAAGGATAGTTCCTCTTTTAGACAAGATATAACGTACAATAAAGAATGTCTGGCTAAAAAAGCTCAAACAATTAACCTGTTTTATCCACTACTAAAGGTGTGTTTGGATTGCTGTTTTAACGAGGAACGGGACTCTATAAAACACAAGTTTGATGCTTATTTGAAAATTGAAAGTTATTTGGGTGGGCTTTAGTCTAACCAACTTTTGGAGGAAAAGTTTAATGCCGGAAATTTTAGCCTTTTCTGTTTGGAACATGAAGAGAAAAACAGTGAAGATAGAAAAAATGAGAAGGGTATCTAAGGAGGTTCTATCTAATAATTTGATGTTTTCTTCGTCTAAGAAAAAAAAAATAACTAATAAAATTTAATTAATTTAATTTATTATTTTTTTTAAAACTTATCAAATTGTCTACATATGATCTTCGCTTTTTAATATAAGATCTTAGTAGACTAATTTGAACAAACTGAAGAGGTCAAATAAATTATTTAATTATATTATATGTTATATGATCTTTCTACAATATTTATGTGAATTATTAGATTATATATTAATTTATAAGTGAAGGAAATTAAGTTGAAAAAAAATGATAAATACAAATACTTTAAAGTACTTCATTTAAATTTATTTAATTTTTTAAAATTAGTTAATTGAGTCTTATATTCAAAATCAAAGATAGTTTATATTATAAAACACATGTCCTTTTCAACCATTTTATATCTAAACTTACTTCTTCATTTTTCATCCAAATAAGTTTCAATTTATCAAATTGACTTTTTTAAAAGTTAATCTAAACATAAATCACATTATATATTTTTTTATTATAAAAAAATTGTCACCAGACTAGGCAGGCTAGCCCTTTACATTGACTCTAAGACAATCAAGTAAAAATTCAAGGGGAGAAACAAAAGAAATAAAGGACCCAGACATATTCAGAGCTTCCTTAGCTAACATATCAGCTGCACAGTTCGCTTCTCTTCTATACCACTCAACCCTTGCCTCCCAATCATTCTCAAGCTAGCGACAAATCTTAGCAAGCAAGGTGCTATCCGGATGCTCATCCTTCTATCCCGTAGTAATGAGATTAATAATATCCCAGCAATCAGTTTCTACACAAACCTTCTTCCATTGTAGTTCCTATGCTCTCTTAAGTCCCCACAAAACAGCCCAGATCTTTGCATGCAAACACTTACCTCTACCAATCTTAAACATAAAACCATCCACTACTCTGCCTTCAAAGTCATGCATAAGACCACCACAAGCAATTCTTCTGTCATCCCTTATACATGCCCCATCCACATTAACCTTCAACCATCCCAAAAAGGGAGTTGTCCATCTGAGGGTTTTGTTTGGCCCAAGCTGTGACGCACAGAGCTTGATGTTCGACTATTTCACCATAGCTCGTGTTTACGCAAGTAAGGTCCTTGATCCTGCAGCTTTACTTTCGAAAGTGCCCGCATTCCTATTGAGCCAGAGATGCCACGACAAGAGGGCAAAACAGACATGCCATCTGACTTCCATCATTGCATATGCCTGCCAAACGTTCTAATCAATCCACTTAATAGCCGAGTTGATAGAATAGAACTGCTGTCAAAGTTGGGTAAGAATGATCACGTCCCAACAAGCCTTCGCTACTCGACAATCACGAAGCACATGTAAGATGTCCTCTTGCTCTCCTTTGCACAGATAGCAAAAATCGTCTCCCTGCATACCACGGGTCTTCCTAGCACTATTAGTAAATAACCTCTCACGTGCACACAGCCACAGAAAGGATCTATACTATTGTGCACGGTTAGTTTCCAAATTCTATTCCACAAACCACAATGAGTATTATGAGACGGTTGACTTAACATCAGATATGCTGACTTAATAGAGAACTCCCTGTTTGGAGCTGGCCACCATGTTAGGGAGTCATCCTGTATCATACGACCATTCAAGAATCTTTGTTCAATCACCCTCAAGACAACAACTGGTAGGAAACCAGCCATCTTGTTCCAGTTCCAGGCCCTCGAGGCTGTGAAATAGTTAGCAACTACTTCCTCCTACCAACCTTCAAGTAGACTTCTTATGGAGAAATCTTGAAGTGCGTCAAACTGAGGTAGCCACTTATCGGTCCAAAAGTTAACTTTAAGACAATCACCTAAACGCCAACCCAGGCCTTGTGAAGTCAAATCCCAAGTATTATGGATTCCTTTACATATCTGTGAACCATTGCGTCTAGCCTCAATTTTATGGATTATGTCAGCACCACACTTATATTTTTCTCTTAAAAACTTCACCCACAGCGCATCACGTTCCTTAATTAAGCCCCATCCTAGCTTCATCATAAAAATAGTGTTCTGTTTACGAGCACAACGTAGACCAAGCCCACCTTCATCATTCTTACGACAAACATCATCCCAGGCCACCAGGTATACCCGACGAGAGGCGGCAGTGCTTCCCCAAAGGAAAGAGCAACACCTTTTATCAATTGCTTCGCAGGAAGACTTGGGGAGCCAAGTAGATTGCATAGTGTAAGACAAAATAGCTAGCACAACTAAAGACACTAAGGTATGTCGTGCTGCTAGAGAGAGAGTATCCACTTTCCACCCCGTTAAACGTTTATCCATTTTATTGAGAACATGTTGATAGGTAGCTTTAGTTACCTTTTTATGAAGCAAAGGCATGCTTAAGTACCAGCCCAAGTCCACTATAGGCGTAAAGCCCAAAAAGTTGCTAATTTCCTGCCTACACATATGGTTAACGTTATTGGAGAAGAAATATCTAGACTTAGCAGCATTAATCTTCTCTCCAGAAGCTAGACAAAATCATCCAAACAAGTTTTTACAATACCTGCTTGATCTAAAATTGCCTCAACAAAGATAAACAGATCATCAGCAAAGAAAAGCTGGGAAATAGGTGTATTGTTCTTTTTTAGTTTGAATGGAATCCAATTACCATTATGTACTTCATTTTGTATCATATGGGCGAGCCTCTCTATAACTAATACAAATAGGTGAAGTGAAATTGGGTCTCCTTGCCTTAAACCACGACTTAGGTTAAACTTAGGCCCCATCATGCCATTCCATAAAATCTGCATATCCATTATGGACAAACACTCATTGATTAACTCAATGAAGAGTAGAGGGGCTCCTAGTTCTTCAAGGCATTCTGTGACAAACTCCCATCGTACACGATCGTATGACTTTTTGAAGTCAATTTTAAGAGCCATAAAACCTTTCTTCTTGCTCATACTCCGCATCGAATATACAGTTTCTTGTGGCAAAATAATATTGTTTGAACTATGCCTTCCAGGAATAAAGCTACACTGATTAGGAGTAATAACTAAAAGCATAATTCTTTCCAAGCGATTTGCCAAAATCTTTGACAACTTTGCATAGAGTTTGTGTTCCCTTAACACTTGTAGTACAACTCTAAGATGTTGTTTATGCTCTTCTTCATTCTTAGAGCAAATGAGGATGTCATCAATAAAGATTACTACGAATTTATCCAAATAAGGTCAGAAGATTCTATTCATATAATCCATAAAGACATCTGGAGCATTGGTTAATCCAAACAGCATAACAAGGAATTCATAGTGGCCGTATCTTGTTCTAAATGCAGTTTTTGGGATGTCCTCAGATCTAACCCTTAATTGGTGATATCCTGACCTTAAATCAATCTTAGAGAATATTGATGCTCCAGATAGCTGATCAAGTAGATCATCAATCCTGGGCAAAAGGTACTTGTTCTTTATGGTTACCTTATTCAATTGGCAGTAATCAATGCACAATCTAATGCTCCCATCCTTCTTCTTCACAAAGAGCACAGGTGAGCCCCAAGGGGATACACTCGGCCTAATGAAGCCCTTTTCCAGCAACTCCTCGATCTGTTTCTTTAACTCTGCTAATTCTAATGGAGACATCTAATAAGGAGCTTTAGAGATAAGCTCAGTTCCAGGTGCAAGATCAATAGAGAACTCCACTTCTCTCTCTAGAGGAAAACCTGTTATCTTGTCAGAAAACACATCCGGGAATTCACTCACCACTGCAATCTCCTCTATGCCTTTTTTAGCTGTTGTGTGAATGGAGAAGAACACCATATAGGCTTGACTACCCTTTCGAATACACTTTTCAACTTGCACTAAAGACAACAGTTGTGGCCCACTAGAACTTACGGAGAAGACCAGCAAAGAAATGGTCTTCCTTCTACAATCTAGGATGGCATCATTTGTCGACAACTAATCCATTCCTACAATTAAGTCAATACCCTTTAAGGGTAGACAAACAAGATCTACAGTGGAAGTCCTACCCTCAAATTCAATCATATGATTCAAGCATGCTTTGGAAGTTTTCACCGAGACTCCTGCTGGTGTAGAAACAATCACATCACAAGGCAATTCATACGTATGCATATTTAAACGAGACACATAATCATCAAATATAAATGAGTGTGTCACACCAGAATCAAATAAAGCTTGAGTTTCAAAGCCTTGGAGTTTAAGAATAGCTTTAATCAAATTAGGGGCAGCGTCAGCTTCTTGTTGAGATAAAGCAAACACTCTTCCTGGGACAACAGTTCTGGTATAATTGACCCCTTGCGAGCATTCCTCACAGAATCTAAAAATGTGGCCTCGGTTTCCCGTACTTGAAGCAGATAATGCAATTTCCTTGATGCACTTTTTCACATTTGGCACACTTTTGACTATTGGTAGTGCTAGTGATAGGAGTTGTAGGACCTCGGTAAGAGCTCTGTCCCCTACTGACCTGACTCCTCTGAGGTTCATTGAATTGACTCCTCAAGGGTCCACTGAATTGACTCCTCAAAGATCTACCAGATTGATTCCTTGGGGGTTGATTAAACCACTTCTTTGAGCTGTTAAAGATGTAGGTATTCTTCTTACCGATTCCTCCTATTGGTCTCATGAATGGAATGGACCTTGTATAAGAGTCCTTCCTCTTCTCAGCTTCTTCTTCTCTCATTCTTCTAGCAATGATTTGCAATTTGTGCATATTTTTTTCAAAATCATTAATCTCTAAGGGTGCTAGAGCTGTTCTTAATTCTGGCCTGGCCTTTTCCAGTAGCCTATCAGCCATCCATTTTGAGTTATATTATATTGCGGATAAGTAGTGTACTTAACTAACTCGAGAAATCGAGCGATAAAGTCTTCCTCATAGAATTCTGCTTCTTGATCAACTATAAGGGCATTAGAAAATAGTGTTAGAAGAATTTTTCCTTGAACCTTCCCAAGTTATCTCTGTGCTCTCAAAAGGCTTAATGCTATCCCACCACTTCTTTGCTGCCTTTTGTAATAGCTGCCCAGCAAGGTGCACTTTTTCCTGCAAGGTGCAGATTACTATTCTAAATATAGTCTCCAGCCTTTCGATCCATTCTTCAGCTTCAGATGGATTCAGCCTGCCCTCAAATTTAGGAGGATCAAACTTCCTAAATTCCCAGAGCAGTGTGATACGCAAGGTCGTGTTGAGAATGTGCACTGCTATCACTTTCGATTCAATGCCTCTAAGAGTATCACTTATTGACTGGTGGTTACTGGGAGCTTCATCATTAACAGGGCCATTTTCTTCTTGATGGCTATCACACTGTCCTTTGATTGCCACCACTCGTCCTCATGTCTCCTCACTCTCTAATCAATGCTCACAACATGATCTCGTAATTCTCACAAAATAGCATTATTATCTTGACGAGAAGAAGCATTTTGATGTGGAAGTGGGGTAGAATTAGTCTCTCGAGTGTTCACCATCCTTCCTTCTATGCAGAATAGCACAGGGATACTAGGTAAACTAAGCAGTGTTACACAAATAAACCTTTAATCTAAAAACTAAAAGGAAGTGCACATGCTATTATATTTTTAATTGCCATGACTATAAGACTTTAATAGTTTATTTTGTCAAGTTATGTTAGAAATGTTTTGAAATTATGACCTATTTGAAGTGTTAGAAATACGTATGGACTTTTAAATGAAATATTTATCGCGTACATGGATATAATTATGTGAGTGCACATGTTTTATATTTAAATTGCCATGACTTCTAGCCTTTTTTTTGGAAAATTATTTCAATATATTCGAATAAAAAGCCATGGAATGTTGTAGTTTTGATACAAAATGTAATACCTCTCATAATTGTATCATATACTCGATAAAATATTTCATATAAAATCCATACGTTACTAATACTCCAAACAAGTCATAATTTTAAAATATTTCTGACATACAACAAAAACTATTAAATTTTATAGTCATGCAAATGTAAATATAACATAGCATGTGCTTAAGAGTATAAAAGCCTTCACGCTCACTTTATTAGTGCTTTCCTTGATTCTACTAGATCCTTCGCTGAAAATTGTTAATATATGGGGTGACATCAAACGTCTAGTAACTACTGAAATTCTAACTATACAAGCAAACATATATGATAAACCAAAAATCTGTTTATATGTGTGTATATAAATATATTAAAAATCACATATTTGATACATTCATCATTTTTCAACAATATACCAATATCATTTTTCTAATATATCCAAAAATAATGCAATATGTTGCCTCCCTTATATCATCCACCCTTATACCGCTGACTGGAGCCATAGGCTAACACATATCGATAGAACTAATCTATTTACTGAATTATTCTAAGCTCACCGATACTAGAGATATATCCTGCAAAGATATAGAGCTCAAGCTCGGACTATGGCTCCCTTCCTTTGTGAATAGGGAGGTGTCACATGTCCCACAACTCAATAAATTCTCGACAAAGGAAAACATAGAAAAGGACCTGACAAGTGCCATCACTGTGCACCGAGTGATAGCATACCACGTGGTAATTTATATCCATGTAATCTCCTTCTATCATTAACCCAACAATGCATGTCATATGCAAATAATGATACATCATAAATATATTCTCAAATATATTATTAAAAATAAGATAGCAATAAAATTCATATACCATTTAACAGCGACTTATGGTAATTTCATAGCTATTAATATATTTAAATATTGATCATAATTACTAGCAATAAATCTTAATAAAATCAGGTGACATACCAAAACATTATTTAAAAAATTCATAATATTATATTTCAGTATATAAAAATTAGCAAATTCACATATACAAGAAAAGATTTTCAGAGTTACTTGGTATTCTTAGCTTACAAATAATTATACAAAGTTTACTCCAAAATTCTCAAGGGTCTACAAAATTACACATAAATATTTATTAATATAAACTTAAAAGTGCTTCAAAACTACTCTAAAATTCTAAGATTACCCTCTAAACCAAAATTACATAAATATATTAACTCTCCCAAATCTAGGCATTTATAATAGATATAATATTATTTTGAAAAATATAATTTACATATAAGTTTAACAACTTAAGTAAATATATTTTTATTACCCAAAATCTAAATATTTTATATTAAAATTCTGAATTATTTATTGTAGTCTCCTTTAAAATTTTTCCTCAAACCAAACAACTTCTTTTTAAATTATAAACAAACTATAGTTTTATCTGATTTCACAAAATTCTCAATTTACAATTTTTCAAGCCTTCAAAAATTATTTTAAAATATATATTTACTTTTTTAAGATTTAAACCAATTAAAACCTCAATAATATAGTAAATAACTCAAATAAATTATTTAACTTAATTTAATTGGTAAAAAGATGCTATATGTCTAAATAACAATTTTTCAACTAAAATTCAATTTAAAATTCTCAAAATAGTCATTGACAAATATAAACGATTAAATTTCTTAATAATGTATCTTTAAATTTTTACGTCATACATTGTCAAAACTCTATATTTACTTCATATCTAAAGTAAAATTTTCTTAAACTTGATAATGAAACTAATAATATAAAGCTCTAAATATATAGGAAATATTCATAAAGGAAATTTGACAAAAAGAAGTAGTTTTATGTATATAATTATTCCCAAAACTATCTGGTACTCACAACTGGCTCCTTCTCTCTTTTCCTTTCTGCTTCTCACTCTCTTCTCTCTTCTTTTGCTCTCTCTTCCTGTTCTGTCTCCTCCTCGACTTGAAATCATCTGGGGTGAAGGTATTTAATAGCCCAATGTTAATTTTTTCCACTGCCTACGCCTTATCCTATTTCCCTTCAACCATCCCTCACCCCTTCTTTTTCCTTTGCATTAATTACCCCCCCATTTTCACTCTCCGTGGAAAAAGGAGGGTTGGGTTTTTTTTAACTAATAAAACATTATTTTAATAACGTATTATATTTTCTTTCTTTTTTTTTGTACGTTACAATGTGGAAGTATCTGGTGTTTCTATCCCTTGTGCATACCATTGGTATCTAGAGTGTTGGAGCCACATGATTTCCTCTTGCAAGAGGCACTTCTCAGTTCCTCCCACACCTTGACTCGCTGTTCCTCCACAGCCGGGTTATCTAAAGCACCATACTTCAGTTTCTCTAACCTACCCAAAGCATTGCTTTGCGTTTATTTATATCTCCGAACACCTCCTATTCCAAGCAACAGCTTCCTTTTAAAACCCCTCCACGTTCTCTTTCCAACATCGAGCCCTCCATGACTTATGTTTAACCTCGAGAAGCCCTCATGAGTACCCAAGGAGCAAAGAAACAGAAATGGTGAGCTTTCATATCTTTTCTTTGCACAAATATTTAATTTCAACAAGAGGGGATAGTGGTCCGATTTAAACCGAGGTAAGTACACCATAGAAGCTTCTGAGAACATCTTGCTCCATTCATGATTAGCTAGCACATGGTCGATCCTATTGCAAACCTTCCTCTGAACCACGTAAACCTTGGACCCTGAAAGTCGACCCCTTAGACCATTTCATGTTACTAAACCATGATCCGGACAACTAGATCACGAGCCATCGACACCCTTTCATCTATATGCAGGATTGCATTGAAGTTAAACACCCATGCATTACCCGAGAAGCTTTACAGGAAATAAAAAAGTCTATATTATCCTCCTATAAACACTAAATTCCACCACTAAAACCATAAGCTTCAACTACCTTAAATTTAACCAAACCAAAGATGACGCGCTATCACACAAGCCTTATCCCACATTGTCTAGGTTCAAGCAACGCCAAAAATTGAAAACAATATCAGTGGCAGAGTTCCATCAATAGTCTCAAGAAAGACCTATTCCTAACACCCTTGGAGTTCCAAATAAGTATATTCAAATCCATAAGAAATAGCCTTTAGAAAGTGGGATACACTACTATCCAAGTTGAGCCAGTCCACTCATTTCGACCATGACGTCATCTCTCAAACTGGGTTCGAATGAATGAGGAACGCACGACTTGAGCTTTCTCCGGGATCAGTAGGATCATTAGCAGACATCGTATCTAATGCTATGTGCTTAACGACGCCCTCTACAAATGGATTAGTCAAACTCTTGACCAAGTCAACCTGTGTGGGAGAAGGAAGGGCTACTTATGTGTTATCAACTTAGTCCCCACAGCCTTAGTAGACCCTGGATTCACATCCATCTCTGTTCTTGCATTTCCTTGGCCCAAACATCCTTTTGGCCCAAACCTAAATTAGGCTTAGCCTTCAATAACCTAGGTAGTTCATTTTTCGTCTTCTGTTGTTTCCCAGCCCCATTTGCTTTAGGTTCACCTACTTAGCCCTTCTTAGTAGGCCCATTCTCTCTGCCCAAAATTAGCCCATGGCTTCTTCTATTCACCCCTGAATTAGCTCGAATCACAACTTTTTTATTTGTGATGTCATTCAGCAGAGATCCGCTGTCACCATAATCCCACCACTATATGAACTTTCGCCTTCTTCCACATTAAGCGCATTACGAGATCCATTCCTATCAACATTTATAATAGCCCGAGATACTTGCCATTGACTTTGCAACCCTCCCTCCGGTGGTCCTAGACAGTGGGTTCGGCAAGGTCTTTGAACTAGCATCCAGCTATCAAACTTCGACGCCAACTGAGCTGCTTTTCTAGATTAGCTACGTACATTTGTTGCACTGTTCCCTGGTGTATGGCTCTCATTTAGCGTATCCTGACTATTGCCTTTATCGACACCTGATGTTTGGGAAGCCTTTGAATAAGGGCAATGGTCGGTATGATGACCATACCGCCCACAATTAAAACAGATAAGATGGATCCCCTCATACTGAACTCTCTTCTCCTTCCCATTAATCAGAATGATCAGTCTTAACAGGGTGGTTAGGTCCAGTTCAACACAGATATGTGCAAAGCAACCCTTCTTGCATCGTAGAGTCTTCATATCAATTTTAAGAACACGACCAGCCTATGAACCCAAAACATAAAGGATTCCTTCATCATAATAATCCTGTGAAAGTTTCGCAATACGGATCCAAGCTGCAATTTTTGTTATTTTCTCTTCTTCCGGGTTAAGTCTCCTTCCATGGTTGAATTGCTAGGTAGTGATCATGGATAAGCCATGGCCCCCCTGTTAATTCCAAATCATAATCTTTTTGACTCATGAAATTCACCATCATAAACCTTGCTCCCACATCAATCGTTTCTATGTCCCCATCCCCAGCCACAACTATTAGAGCTTTGAGTCTAAAAACTCAGGATTAATCATCCTCCCCAGTAGTTTAACAATCAGGGCATTACTCCATCGAGCAACCAATCTAGTTTTCTCAGCCAAAGGAATGATATTCTCTCCTTCCACTTATCCTCACTCTACCAGTCCTCCTCCTGCTCCTTCTCATCCCTACCTTGGGTGCATGCCTGCTTAAAAGATGTCTATTTCCTACCAAAACCCTAAGAGTTTCCTCGGTGTAAACTGTCTGCACTAGTCTCTGAGGGCTTATCATGCATCCACTCCTCGTCCCTAGGAACCAGAGATTGCTCGTTTGGAAACCACCCATATCATACACACTTTCTTACAACTTCAATCCAAAGCATCCCTCTCCTCTGGCAACGGTGCTGGGCTTCCTCGCTCTGTCGACCTCTCTCATTCTCTCTCGCTCATCTCTCCTTTCACCTTAATAATTTAATTTATTATTTTTTAAAAAAATTGATCAAATTGTCTATATATGATCTTCACTCTTTAATATAAGATCTTAATAGACTAATTTGAACAAATTAAAGAGGTCAAATAAATTATTTAATTATATTATATGTTATATGATCTCTAAAAATATTTATGTCTTATTAGATTACATATTAATTTATAAGTTAAGGAACTTAAGTTGAAGAAAAATGATAAATACAAATACTTTAAAGTAATTCATTTAAATTTATTTAATTTTTCAAAAGTAGTTAATTAAGTCTTATATAAAAATCAAAGATAGTTCATATTATAAAACACATGTCCTTTTCAATCATTTTATATCTAAACTACTTCTTCATTATTCATCCAAATAAGTTTCAATTATCAAATTGACCTTTTTAAAAGTTAATCTAAACCTCCCTATTAAATACATATTCCTATTTATAAGTCACATATACTTCAAACTCATAAACCCAAAAATATATTAAATTGATAATTTTTTTCACACACTTGCCCTTGTTAAAGAAAGGGTATGAAAAATATGTTTTATATTTTATCTCACCTATTTATTTTTTTCTCTATGTATTTATTAAGTCAATAAGGGTAAAAATTAGAAAAAAAAAACTCACTAATTATACTACAACTGACTTCCTATATTAAGAACAATTTTTTTTTTTAAGTGGCTTATTAATTACACCTGTTTTGGTAATTTTACAAATTAAACTTGCTTATTTAATTATAACTCAAACAACTTTTACTTTTGCCTAATCTGACTTTTTTAAAGCCAATCCAATATAAATCACATTATCCAATCTAACTTTTTCAAAAGTCATAGAAAAAATGAAATGCTTTTTCTACCACTACCAAACAGGCACTAAATGGCTTATAAGTAGCTTTTTAATATTAATTTTGAAATACAAGACAAGTATATGAAAGGATTTTATCTAGACTTATATAAGGAAAACCATATTGGAGGTACCTAACTTTTTTCAATTTTCAATTTGGTACCTAGTGTTTTTGTTCTTAAATAAATCTTTATTTTTCTTCTTTAACATCATTAATCCTATGTAGAGACTAAAAAAATCAATAAACAAAAAGTTATAGAAGTAATGTTACTAAAAAGATAAAATTAAATATTTAATTAAGGAAAAAACACATAGGTACAAAATTAAAAATGAAGAGAAAGTAAGGTACTTTCATATGGTTTTCTCTTATATAAAAAGTGCTTATAAATTATTTTAATTATGATGTCAAATAGGACCTAAACAAATCAAACCAACCGGTTTTGAGTAGGGTGCACTAAGCCATTTAATCCGCCAATTTTTTGAAAAAACTAAATCTAAAATAATATCCCAAATTAATTCATGAAAAAGAATATTCCCAAAAAAATCCCGGGTTTATGAATTCCTAAATTCAACCCATTGCTGCATTTAACTCTGTCACATAGACGACACGATTTCTTTTTTTTTTTTTTAATTTAAAGGGACAGTCATTGAAAATAATATAAACAAAAATTAAGCCTACAAACTCTTACTTATGGGCAAAACATCCCTGCATCCATATTTTTATCATTAGCAATGAAATTAAAGAAGATAGATTTATAGATTCCGTATGGGAGAGATAAATACTACTGTAGATTATGAAATATTCCTACAAAACAATTCAAATAGTCAAAATTTAAGGGATTAGAATAATTGAAGGCATTTTTTTCTTCTTTTTTTTTCGATGATAATATTTTAGAAAATGATTTGTGGTTAAACATGTCCACTTAACTTACATAATGAATCAAGTTTTGATTTTTCAAGTCACAAGGTTAAAATGGGTTAAATGAACCAACATATCTAACTTAGAACTTATGGTCGTTTACCCCATCAACGAATTAATCACACTATGATTTAAAAATATCATACCATGCTTGATTTAAAATGTATTTAAGATAGTGCTACCTCCGGTCCTTAATATAAGACCCTGTTTAACTTTTATTTTGATCCTAAATGTAAGACCCAATCCACTTTGTCTCTCATATTTATATTTTTTTTTTCAAAGTAGCCCTTCAAAAATAATAATTTTAATCAATGCACTTGATTAGTAAGATATTTTAGGAAAAACAACACCTATTTAGGACAAATAACTAACTCAACTTACTTCTTTTATCTCTTCAAATTAGTCAACTGGCTCTTATAATTAAGATCGGAGGTAGTATTATTTAGAAGGAAGGAGGGACAAGGGAGGAAGGGAGAGAGTTCGTTCTCCAATTTAAATAAATACATGATTGGTTGAAATAAAGAAACTAGCCAGAGGATCACAACTAATAAATTTGATAAACTAAAGCTATACATAAACGCCAATATTTATACTTGTTTATATAATAAACTATTCACGCTTCTATCTATTATACTAATCAAAAGTCATTTTCAGTTAAATGAAACATGAACATCATCAACTTGAGTGTGGCTTCTTCCCATTTGATCACATTTCTTTAAAGCTTGCCTTGTGCCTTTCTCATTCCACACTCTTAAGCTACTCAATATCCATACCCCACATAAAAGAAAAGCTTCACTTTTGTTTTATACCATTTCTCCCACCATCCACCAACTATTCCCCTACTATAAATACGCAAAAACTTCCACTCACAACTAAAATCTCATAAACATACACCCCTTGTTTTGTCTTCTTATATAAGACCTGAGAGAATGAGAACAAATTTTCAATCCCTTCACTTGTTCTTATTCTCATTGTGTCTCTTACTAGGTTTATCCAAACCAGACCCTGACCCGCTTCAAGACTATTGCATTGCAGACACAACAAAGCCCCAAAAAATATATCTGAACGGGGCTCCGTGCATTAACCCGGAACTAGCTACCACGTCTCATTTTACCACGTCCTCTCTATCCAAGCCTGGAAATACAAGTGCCAACCAATTCGGGTTTAGTGTAACCCCTACCAACATCGCTAATCTTCCTGGGATTAATACCCTGGGCTTGGTCTTGGCCCGGGTTGACATAGCGGCCAATGGAATTGTGCCACCTCATTCTCATCCACGAGCCTCAGAAGTGACCACTTGCCTCCAGGGCACATTACTCGTGGGCTTTATTGACACGTCAAGCCGGGTCTTCACACAAAACTTAAAGCCCGGTGAGTCTTTTGTATTCCCCAAAGGTTTGATTCATTTTCTTTTCAATGTTGATTCAAGAAAGTCCGCCCTAGCAATTTCTGGGCTTAACAGCCAAAACCCGGGAGTCCAAATTGCATCAGTTGCTACGTTCGCGAGTAAACCAGGAGTTCCGGACGAAGTATTGGCGAAGGCTTTCCAAATAAGTCAACAAGAAGTGAGAATAATCCGTAAAAACCTTGGAGGCTAATTAATTAATTAATTAATTTTAATTGTATATGATTTATGTCTTATGATAATGCCCATATCCTATTGTGTTTGTATTATTATTAATACTTGAAATTGCGTGACCTTGGGATCCAATGGAGAAGGTGGGAATGTGATGTTTGGTTGGCTTTATATTTGAAAAACACCATGTGGAAAGAGACATTTTAACGGTCATTTATTTTGTTTAATGAAATTATTAATGGCTTCATCTCATTCCTGTGTGTGTTGACGTCCCGTGAAGGAGTTAAGTATGCATATTTGTCTTTTTGCCCCCTTGGACAAGTTATTGGATTAATTTTAATCACTTTGATGTGGAGTATCAGGATATTTTCATGCTTAATTGGGTAATTAATCAATTCGGTTTAACATCAACCATGTCTTAGTTAATTGTATGCAATTCATTTAGGATGAATAATTGCACATAAATCAAATTAAGTAAAAGCCCCAGCTTGTAGTCAATAGATTCCTATAACAAATAAGTCAATAATGACTAAGAGAAAAAGCCTAAATATGTTACCAACTAGTTATATTACTACGTTCTTTAAATTTATTATGTCAATTTCTCTAATTATATTTAGCCATCTGTCCTATTTTTTCATGTAGATTTATAATTTAATGATAATATTTTAAAAATAGAATATACGGTCATATGTTATTCGAAAACTTAACATAATAAATATAAAAAAATTTGATCTAGATGCTGTTATATTGAGAATACCATATGAATATGATAACACATCTTGTGAACATCTAATTCTAAGGTTTGTAAATCTTGCCTCTCTAATTTCTTAATGCATTATTGGGTCATCAATTTATTTGAGTTTAAGAATCTTTTAATTATTATGATTAACAATAGCAAATCAAGCTCCACATCACATGATAATAGTGGCAACATGTGTGTGTGTGAACTCAGTTTTTTTTTCTTAATACTCCATTCGTTCCTTATTATAAGAGACGAATAACCAATTACGTTGATAAAAAAAACAGTTAAAATTAGTTGAGGACAATTAATATGTAAAAAGTATAATGTTTTTTCTAACAATACCCCTATTAATAAGGAGAGAGAGTATGAGAGACAACAATTAAACTATTAAAAGAAAGAGAAGTGAGAGGGAGAGAGAGTATAAGTTGGAGACAAAATAAATAGGGGTAAAATAGAAAATCAATACAAAAAAATAGAGACAACTTTTAAGTATCTCTTATATATAAAAATATGCTATAAGCATCAAATGTCTATTATAATAAAAAACGGAAGGAGTAGTATGTATGAATTCAGTTTTGTAAGCAAATAAAAAATTGGATTTGAACTGGCTTTTTATGACGGTTTGGGGATAAATGAAGTCAACTTTGGTAAGCGATGGATGACGTCATCATATCGTACAATTGTCACGCGATGTTGCCACGTTGGCTGTGCCTCTAACACGTCTTTACGCATTTTTTCTGAAGAGTTCTTTCGAGGCATATTCGTGGCTAACTTGTAGGGCAAAAAAGAATGCGTCATAAAGACCATTTGAAAATGAAATTGTCATAAATTATCTCGTTGAATATTCCTTCCTTTGAAATGCTTATATCAATGAATTGAAAGCTTAGAGGGTGGGGAAAGCCCTAGACTTCAATTTCCCAACCCTAAAACTAAAAGTGACATCTTCTTAGGGGGAAAAACTCAACTTGGGTTGGGGAGGACGGCTGGGAATGTGAGTCCTCTAAACCCTAACCAACTCAAGGTTTGGGTTTGCCTGACCACGTCCAAAAATTTTCATGTACTTGTTTTTCTTCTTCTTTAGGCTACATGGACTCTTCTTAGATCAAGTCAAGTAGCTAGAGCATACGAACCTCTTATACAACTTTAGTAATTATCTCAGTGGTTCAAGAAAACCTTATAAGATAATGAAAATAGATCATCTATAATTACTACTCCCTCGTTTTTTATTATAAGAGACATTTGATGCTTATGACATGTTCCTATATATAAGAGACATTTAAAAGTTGTCTCTATTTTTTTGTGTTGATTTCCTATTTTACCCATATTTATTGTCTCCAACTCACACTCTCTCTCATTCCCACTTCTCTTTTTTTGAATAATTTACCATTGTTCTCTCTCATGCTCTCTCTCCTTATTAATGAGGATTTTTTTGGAAAAAAATTATATCTTTTACACATTAATTGTTCTTAACTAATTTTAACTGTTTTTTTAATTAACGTAATTCGGTTATTCGTCTCTTATAATAAGAAAAAGGACTAAGTGAAAATTAAAGAGAACATCCAATAGAGCGATTGAGCGGCATCTTTTGTTTAACAATTTATTCAAAAATTTAGTTGTTGTTAATCGAACATAATAATGTTGTGCGATTAATATAACTAATCCCGTTTAATAAGATAATAAGTGGTTTGTATAACACCATTATGGGGTCCAAGGCAAGATTGGGGAAGGAATTGGAAGCCAATTTAAACCAGCACAGAAGCAATTCGATGAGAGTTAGAATCCCCCCCCCCCCTCCTGTAGTCGTGTTTTAACTGGGAGAAGGGAACTCTAAGGTGCATGAAAAGAGAAGTGCTGGTCAAGATTAGTACTAAAATGCAAGATGATTAGACTTTACGCGCACAACTTTGGATTTGATAATTTGATACATGAGCTCTATTTGTGTGGGTCCACCTACATCACAGCATCACTGAGGTTCCTCAACCCGCAGGCAAAGTCCTGCAAGTAACTTTCATTGTCACCAGCATCGCCACATGTCTTCCTATATATTCTTTCCTTCGTCCCTTTCCACTTTAATTCTTTTAATTTCAATCTTCACTTCGAATCACAGAGAGCCCATGATCGTCTCAATCATACACTCTAACAACCAAACTCTTATTTTTCTTAATTTAAATCCGCACCAATTAGAGTAATAGAAATAATTTATAAACAACTTTTTAATTATCATTTATAAAATATGAGGTAAATATACGAGAAACTATCGTGATTTCAAATGAGCACCTTGCAGTTTCAGACTTTTTAGTTGATGTTATCAAATAATCGAATGGAAACAAAACATAATTTTAAAAATAATTTTAAGCATACTGAAAGAATTGCCTCAATTGCACGAAGGTACTCCTCCAGTCTTTGATATAAGACTTAATTATTAAGTTAATTTTGATTTTAAATATAAGACTTATTTCTCATATTTATTAATTTTTTTAAATTAATCTTATGAATACTCTTTCAACTATGATCAAGTAAGTGAGTGAGAGATGTTAAGAAAAATGATTACGGTATTTTGAGAAAAAAATGTCATTTTCTTGTAATTAACTAAGTGACCTAACTTTCTTAATCTAATCAAATTAGTTGAATAAGTCTTATATTAAGGATTGGAGGAGTATTTTTTAAAACTAGTTATGAGTGCCAAACACCATCCTCACCTCAACAATTGAAGAAGACTTACTTGCCTGTCAGCAACCAGGCCATTCACAACTCTCATTTCATTTAATTGAGGATTCCCGAAGAAGATCAATTCCAACTCAATTGAAATACAACAATGAGCCAACTCTGTTATTATTATTATCATCATTATTCTCCACTTTGTAATGATCAATGGCCCCATAAGGCCATGACAAACAACTTAATCCCACCCCCACAAGAAAGAAAAAAAATTAACCAGAGATCTGACATGTGAAAATTACACCAAAGAATCTGAACAAAGAATGAAAACAAAACCCCCCCCCCCCCAAGTTCTCTTCCATTCAATCTCTCTCTCTCCCCCCTGAATTGTGTTCTAGTGCATCTCTCTGTACACAGCTAATCAAAGAATATTTTATCTGGACAGTAACTGTAAACAAATGACACATCAAAGAATCAAAACAAATCACGCGAATACCCAACCAGAATCGAAGAAAACAAACTCCATTGTTGATCCTTTTCATTGCTGTTCTGAGGCTTGTACAAGTCATAAGGCTCCCAGAGACGATCAAGAGGACAAGGTTGCTTAGCATCGAGCCTCGCCCATGGCTTCCCTTTCCCACTCCAATGCAACAGACTCACAGGACCAGAATGAAGCGACCTGCAAGTTCCCTTCACGTTATCTCCACCTAATCCGTGTTGATTCCATCGATGATCAATAGCTTCAACATTCCCTGCAAAAACCAGCAAGAATGGCGGAAGCGAACCCAGATCGTAAATCCTCTTCGTCTTCTGCAATTCCATCCATGTCTCGATCCTCTTCCTGAAATTCCCCTCTCTCCATTTTTGCAAATCCATCACCATCACCCCTGTGTTGAAATAGCAAGGGTTTCTCGACGCGAACACCCGAGAAAGAACCGGGTCGGACCAGAATGTGTCGGTGAAGTACTTGGTGAAGTTGGCATGGCAGTATTCCGGTGCGCCGATGACTCGATTCCCGGTGAGACTAACGCTCCAGAGCTTCTGAATGTCGTCGACGACGATCACGTCGGAGTCCAGGTAGATGACCCGGTCAACGCAGGAGTCCAGGATATCGCCGAGATAGTTCCTCGCGTAGTTCAGTGGATTCTCTAGGGCTTCGCGAATGGAGGACGAGATGAGATTGATGACGGTGTCTTCTCTGAAGATATAGACCTTGAATTTGAGGGAAGGGAAGGTGGAGCGGACGATTCGGGTCAGGACCCGTGGGCTAGCCGGGTCGAACTCCGCCGCAATGAAGTGGAAGAACACGTTTTCGGGGCATGAGGAGTGTTTGAGAACGGAATGAACGGCGGCGATGGAGCCCCGAAGATAACCCGAATCCAAAGTCATAGCTATGTGAACCAGAGACCGATCACAAGACAAAGCCGAACCCTTGTTTGACGAAACCGGGCACCCAGCTCCGTTTCTGTAATCCGGAGCTTCGGCGAACTGAATCAAACCGTCGAACCCCATTTCCAACCGATCTCTGCCGGCGACCATCGTCGGGAAAGACCGAATCCCGAGACAAAGCAGTGGAAATAAGGGAAGTAGCAATGAAACAACTAGGCTTAACCGGAGAGAAAGCATTCTTTCGGATTTGTTCTTGTTGAGAGAGAAAAGAAGTGAGAGAGATTGAAGTAGGTGGGCACAGAGGAAAGAAACAGTAAAAGTTCTTGAAGTGGGAGCTGATAAAGAAGGTGAAATCTGGTTCACATCTGGCATGAAACGAAATGGGTAAAGACCAGAGAAAAGCCAGATTGCCCTGGTTATTACGCTTGACCTTCAATGGCTTCTTCTTCTTCTTCTTCTACCTCTGCGCGTTTTCCAAAGAGAAACACGGTTTTGCCATCTGACAAAGAGAAGAAAGAAGAAGTGGTGGGGAAGGGGGAGAGGGGAGGAACAGAGACAGAGAGAGAGAGAGAAATTTATTAATGTACTTATACAAGATTCGCTTCACTGTCTCTGTCCATGACTCATTATTTTTTTAAAAATATATATAAATTATTTTTTTTATATTTATTTTATACCACTAATCATTGGACTCTTCATTTTTCAATATCATCATCTACGTATATACAATTAAAATTTATAAAAATAGTATTAGTGCTGGTAAAATATAGAAATAGTATTTATCTTTGTTTATAATGTAACGTTCGTTAGATTCCACAACATATAGGATTTACTATCTGTTTTTCTTTGAGAAAAATCTAACATCAGATTTTAATAGTAAAATTAGAAAAAGCATAAAATTTTATATTATTTGTAAATTGTTAATTTTGAATTTGTAAATTTATGTTAGCGAAAAAATTGTAATAGCATGGCGTGGGTAGGTTGAAATTCATGCAGATCTCTCTAATATTTTTCCTCACATTTTTGTTACTAAAATTAGTGTGGATTTTCTTGCAATAGTTCAGGAAAAAAAACAAACTACTGTGAGTTCTGAGTGATATAAATTTTTTTTAACCAAGAAACTGTATTATCCATAATTTATAAATGGAATAATTTTTCGTAAATTGTGTTATATATAAATATAATTTTTTTAAAAATAAGACAAATAATTTTTTTATAGTAGGTGATAATAATGTAAATTAAAAGCATGCACTCAGCATATTATTAAATAATATTAAACAATTATATTTATCATATTTAACATAATAAATCCAATAAAAATATGAATACCTCTGGTCAAAAAAAAAAAATGAATACTTCCCTTGTGGGAATGTGGGGATGTGAAAAGTTGATGAATCTAACATAATGACTTGATTTTCCCAAAACAAATATTCAATAAGGATTTTTAATTTCTTTTCTTTTTCTTTTTATATTTTCTGTGGGTGTTTAAAGACAGCGTGATTCATGTTTATTTAGGGGGTGTTTGGCAAAACCAAAACCTAGGTTTCAAAATCACTTTTTCGCAAAACGAGATAACCTCCTCCACATATTTACTTCGTAATCCGTAAAAACACTTTGAAACCATGGTTTGGTTTCTATCTAAACAAATTGAATACATAACTTGCCAGGTAAAAAGTTACCTTCAAGAGTTAAGGTCAAAAAAGGGGGAAAAAAAAAGTGTTCCCTTCAAGAGGATGATGAGTTTACAATTCCAAACAATTTTAATTAGATTTAAAATTTTAATTTTTTTTTACTAAAATATAGGTATCTTCTCATTAGAGGCAATCCTATTGAAAATATTGTTGGGTACTAATAAAAATTTCAAAAATAGTAAATATTTAATCTTTTATGCATATCAAAAACTGCATATGGTTGATAAATATCATTAATTAACGAAATTAATGACAATAAAAGATTATGATAATCATCAAGACTTTTCTTCTTGAGCTCTATTATATATAGTTTTTGCTTAATTGTAAAAATTTCAGGTATGTTAAGTTTTAAAAATTCAATAGCTTGGGTATGATGACTTAAAAAAGTCTTACAAAACTATCCATTATAATATTGAATTGTTATTTCCTGTTCTTAATATCAAAGCTAGTAGGTTGGACAGTAGAATTTGATTATAAATATAATATCTCAACTTATTTTGTCTATCAAATTTATAAACCAAAAATCATAATTGCCAATCGTCCCAAGCAGCAGAAAACAGAATGGTAGTTTCTTTAATCTCCTTAAAGTGAAATTAATTGTATGCGTGAATAGTCATAAGGAATGAGTAGTAATCTTTTCTTTGGTGGAAAAAAAGTTATAATTTTTTCTTACTTAAAACAAAAATTCATTGAGCCACAAACAAGTACAAATACTCAATAACTAAATTACATAATTCAAAATTTTGGTTAAAATTAATTAAAGATAATAAATGTAAAAAAAATATAACTTATTTTTTAAAAATACTTTTATTTATGAAGAGGGCAAGTGGCAGAAAGAACGGGTAAACAAAGAGATGAAAAAATATATGATTAATTGGGGGTAAAAATAAAAAAAAAGTATTAAATGATTGGATAAATCGAAATTGTATTTTATAAAAAAAAATTAAACCCGCCATAAATTTGATGATTATATTTTAGACCAGTAGAAATTAATTTTTTTAAAAAAATAATTTTTCAATAAACATTTTTTATTAGATTTTTTTCAATTTTTACGAAGCAAATTCAGTTGAAAAATGTCTGTTATTTACCTTTTCTATATCAAGAAAAATTATCCTCTTATTTCTTTTATGAAGAATAGTCCTATTTTCACAAAAAGAAAATGATAATTATCCTTTATGGAAGAAACAAAATTTACAAAATTAAAACTTTTTACCGATTTAAGGAGGATCAAAGTCTATGTGCTACTCCTCTGATCCTAAATATAAGACCCTTATATTAGTGTGTATAAGAATCTTATATTTAGAACTGGAGGAGTATTGTTTTTTGTTTTATGTATCCATTCATACATAGCTTTTTGTTCGTTATGTTCTATTCCAAGTATGCTTGACAAGAAGTTAATTGACATTATATTTCATGTAATAAAACCTTTCTTTAATGATTTTTTTATAGGCTTCTTTAATTATTTTTCTAACAACTATTTGATATTTCAAACTACTGATTAATTCACATTAGATGTTTGTTAGGCCATCTTTTTTAACATGATTTTTATTTTCATTAATAAGGAATTTTTAAACTTTATTTGATATATTTAATCTCATTTCAAATCGACCCATCAACCGATGTATAGATTTTTGGTTCAATGTACCCATCCATTGATAATCCCTTTTTAAGGTCAATGTAAATTTAAAGAAATAAAGAAAGAAATATGAACGTCACTCTTCATATTTGGATGCTCTATCTGAGGTAATCCACTTTGTCCAATTCTTTCTTCTTCTTTTTTTATTTTAAATTCAATCATTCAGTCATATGCATATTATCAAATACTTTTAACCCCTAATTTTCTCATTGCTTGCAACCTTACTCTTAATGAGCTACTATTAGTTTAGATTTTTTTACACATTATTGGCCCTTGAAGTTGACTTTATCATTATTTTTTTTGGCTAGGCATGAGTATCTTTTTATAGACAATCTTAATCGAGGTATTATCGAGTATTAAATATGGGCATCTATCTTAGTGAGAATTCGAACATCAGCGTTAACTTTATCATTTATTAGTTGTTAAATAAACACATGTTGGTGTTGACTTAAAGCTTAATGCGCTCTATCTTCATGGTTTTGTTAAAAAAATTAATTTAGTCCGATAATTTGTTCAAAGTTTTAATGGCATGCATCTCTCTTCTGTGGATATTTGACAAGTGTATCCCCATTATTCGTTACCATTAGAGTAGGGGAATTGCATATGTACAAAGTTTTACAAATCAGGCTACTTAAAATTAAGCAAAATGGTCATTGAGCCGGTTGAAGAGTGACTCAAGGGTCAATACTTTAATCGTGACTAAATTGGAATAAACCTAATTATAATTAAATTAAAATAGTTAGAATAATATAATTTAATTAAAATATAAAAATATTCATGCATAACTTTGAAGAGAGTGACATTTAAACAAAAAAAAGCATTAACTCAAATAAATTGAACATTCACAAAACAAAGTCATTGGAGCACAAATTTGACCAATTATTATTTTTTTAAAAAGTTAGAATAACGCTGTTTCAAACTTAAGAATGAGAACAAAAATACAAAATCATATTCGGTTGACTCACCCAGAAATCTTAATCAGACGAGGTAGGAGATTTATTTATTGATTTACTAATCTAACCAATTGACACGAATTGAGTTTTAATAGCATAATAAAAACTATAAAAGAATTACTGAATTAAACTTATACCTAATCATGTGGGATTTTTTTCCCATTATAAGAAAATCTTTTATATGAGAGGGATTCAAGACAGCTTATTAAGATCAAGATATGTGTCATATAATCAACACTTATCTGCCAGAATATGTGGGTTTTTTTCAGTGATAGCAACCGCTTTCTGAAACAAGATCAGTTTAAATTCCATTTAAAGTGATACTCCTCCGGTCCTTAATATAGGACCCAATTCTTAAGTTGATTTTGGTCCTAAATATAAGACCCATTTATCATATTTATCAATTTTCTCTAAATTACCCTTATGAATACTCCCTCAACCATAATCAAGTAGAAGAGGGAGATGGGGTATTAAGAAAGATGATTATGGTGTTTTTAGGAAAAATATGTCACTTTTCTTATAATTAACTAACTTACCTAACTTCCTTAATCTAATCAAATTAGTTAAATGGGTCTTACATTAAGGACCGGAGGAGTATTTTTTTTTTTGCTAAAATATTGGTATTCTCTTATTGGAGACAATCCTATTCCAGGCACTGTCGGGCACTAAATGTGGATATTTCTTCCAACAGGAATTCGAACATTAATTCGTCATGTTGTGAGGGATTAGTCTTTTTCACTAAACCTAATCCCCGTTAGTCATTTAAAGTGAAATTGAATCATATGAATATAAAGCTCTCTTATAAACAGTAATTTTCTTTATATATACAAGACTTGAATTATAGAGACACAAGAAAATAAAATGCAACAAACATGAATTGATATTAACTGTCATTTGTCTTTTTCTATAACATGTTTGATAAGTTGGGTTTGTTTTTGTTATATCATTTGAATACAGCAAATTGGGAAAAGAACAGGCTTTAGTCTTTACCATCAAGTACTAGTAGTAGTAGTGATAATAATAATAAATCAAGTGTATTTTTTAAAGAAAAAAATGCATATTATGGACAAAACTAAAAATTTCAAATAAATCAAAAGGGTTAAATTTAAAAAAAAAATTGTTGGTTCATTTGAAGACATGTCAATTACCTTTTCCCCCCCTAACTTTAAGGTTACAGTATTATATAAGAATGAAGGTCAATGTTAAACTAAAACAATAAAATGTAATTGAAAAAATTATATAAAAAACAATAGAGGACCCACAAATGAAGTGTCATTT